AGCAATGTCTTGATGTTGAGGAGGTAAGGATTTTATTCTAATCTCAAGTGATTTTTTGTAATGGCTCATGGCAAGCTGATATTTGCCAGTATTAAAATAAACATCACCTATGCCACTATAATTTAAAGCCATATCCGAATGATTAGAATGTAAGTGCTGTTCTTGAATAATCAATGAGCGTTGATAATAACTTAATGCATCTTGATATTGTTTTTGAGCACTGTAAATACGGGCAAAACCGTGATACCAAGAAGCGATATTTGGATGATTTGTAGCATTCGCGCGCTTGTAATGATCCATTGCTATATTGTAACATTTTATTGCTTCATCAAAGTTATTCTTTTCGATATGGATGTTTCCAATACAACAGTGTAGACCAGCAATGTAGATCAAATCATTTGGATCTGTACGAATTTTCTTGCTCAATGCTTTTTCAAACCATTGTAGACTGCTGTCAAAGTCCTTTTTTTCTTTATTCAGCATGCCAAATGAGAAACATAATTGAGAATATGAACTATCATTGGAGGAATACGTTTTGCGTAGACCACGATATATTTTTTCTGCCGAATCATATTTTCCCATATGTTGAAGTACATCACCAAATGACTTAAGATCAGCTTCGTTCTCACCACCTCCATAATCTGCTTTCAACTGATCGAAAAGCTTCTTCAACTCATTGTCATCATCTTCTACTAATTGCATAACAATGGTCGAGATATTTTCATTATCATCTCGATAGATATTGATCAAACGAAATATACATCCAACCATAAATAATATTTCAGATTCTTGACTGAAATAACTTAATGAACTAATATCAGCAAATGGTTTTGATTTCACAACACGTGGATCAGCTTCAATGTCAAATAATATTCCACGTAAGTCATTCGAAATGGTCGTACGCTTCATGAATTTTAATGCTGTATCACGATCAGAACTAGTTGAAAAAAATGAATTAATTGAGATAAATTGACCGATCGATTTTTTAAGAGTTCTTAATTCATCAGCAGGCATAGCTTGATAACGAAAAGCGCGAACAGGATGTTGGCATTGATTTCTTTGTAGTTCTTGATAAATGTCATGAATTACAAAGCGAAATAATAATAATAATTCAGTGTTTTGTATTCGTAAAGCTTTGTTTAACATACTGTATAAAAATGCATCACGAGTATACCACCATATAGCTTTTCTAGGTTTGTAGTCACATTCAAATTCACGAACCACGGCTAAATGAGGTTCGTTGCCAGCATATTCTTCTTTACAAAGTTGAATTAGTTTTTTTCTGTCAGCGTCATTAGGTTTCATTCGAATAAGAACATCAATCAATAATAGATAATGAATAAATTGACCATTGAGGTCAGTTGTTGATTTATCTGCATTACTACTAACATTATAAAAACTGATACACATTGGTTCGTCTTGTATTAATAGATCTCTGTAGTCTGTTTGAATTTGTTGAATGAGATCATCAAGTTGAACGACTACACCTTTTATCTTCAAAAAAGTAAATGAAAATGATTAAAATATCGAAATACAAAAACACAAAAACTTCATACTTTACTATACTGTTTAGCCCAATCTTTATATGCTCTCTTATCCCAACAATAGATGTAAACAGCAGAAAGTTGTCGAAGACCATGAATCTGAGGTATTAATTCTTTGCTTAATCGGCCACTAATGATAAGAACAATTCGATCTTGTTCAGAACAAGACATAATATATTGTTGACATTCATTTTGATTATGAAATATTTTAAGATGATTGATGCTTGAACGAAGTCGCTTTTGAGCACGCCTGTTATCTTCTGTTGTATTGACTTCTGCATCAAGCCAAAGAAGAGAAAATGTTTCTAAATTATCATTGAGTGTTTGGGCGCTCATATTTTTTGCAGCCGTCATATGTGTATGAATAGTAATATTCGAATAAAGTATTTTGATATAAATATATTGGCCTTATGGTTGCATTTTTCAATGTAGTACAATGCATCAACGCACGTGTATATTACACTTTTTTTCTACTTGTTTTTTTCCCATGATTTTTTTATCATATAGGCAATCATTACATTTTCTTAATTGAAAATTATTGATGTATGAAATATACAGACAAACCAACGCATATGTTTTTTAACGACCAATAGAATGATAATTTTTAACTGATCACTTTGTCATTTATGTATATATGTTGACTATACGACTAGCTGAATGTAAAAATCCAATTTATTTACATAAATATCGTCATCTTGCAATCGTATACATGTATTCAAAGTGTACAAAAATATTTTTGCTATGCTTTAGTATTTCATCAAATCAAGTATACGTCTCGATGTTTTTCGCTTCGTTGTTGAAATAATAATTTTATATTAGTCATGTTGTTTTTCTTGATCTTTGGAAATAAATGAATATGTTTTTGTTCAAAAATTGACTGATAAATATGATTGTTTTCTCTCAAAAAAATTAAAAAAAAAAATGTTTGTAACTATTTAATATTCGAATAAATACTTGAATAGATAGAACACACGCTTCATGACATTAGAAATAGCACTCAAATGTAATCATCAAGATAGATTCACGAAAGTTGAAGCTAACATTTGGTCAACATTCTCAAAAATGATTTTGATTGCATGTACACCAAAGCAGATAATAAGATACTAAGATTATGACTGTTACTTTGTCTTATAATTAAATAATGATTAAGAAATTTAGACGAAAGAAGAGGATTTAATTACGTGTATTGTTCTGACAAAAAGAAACTTTCTTCACCAATGAATAAACCCGATCTAGTAAAATAGAAGAATACAGTATTACATCAGTTCAGAAAATTCGAATACAATAATGGCGTATATTTTTAGGCGTGACATCAATACATGTATGCGTTAGAAAAGCTCAAAAGATATAAATCTTTTTATTTATAAAATAACAGCTATGTTTGAAATTGAGAGTATGAATGTGGATAGATATGGAAAAGTCCAACACTCAACACGGACACAAAAAGTTAAAGTTAAACATTTTATTGTAATCAGACATAATCATTCAATCAGGATTACTCATGTCATGGTTTCATCTGGTTCATAACAAGATCATGGTCTTTTATGCAATAGTTAACAATATTACTATTCGAAAAAGTCATCGTTAGATGCTATACTGCAGATATTCTTAGCAGTATCCATGGATTTAGTTTTGCAGAAAGGTTTTCAATGATTGAAAACACATGAGTGGTGAGTCTTCGCACTTCTATGGCAATGATCGCTCATCAATATACCTGATAAATTGCTTAAATATGCACATCAAATTTTCGTCATTATAATACATTAGAAAAAAGTGAAAAAGAATCTAGTATAGACCATTACACCAATAGCCATCTCCATTCTTTGCTAATGCTGATACTTCTATGCTAATACGTATCAATATGTCAGTTTCAATCATGAAAAAAATCATCAGTATATGATGAGTTTGGATGTAAATGGCGATACGTCTTGTTTTTAGTCAGATCCATCATCCCCGAATCACACTCACATCAATCACATATATATTAGAGCTCACATCTATGCAATAGCCACTGATCCACGCTTATACCTATACCTTTTCGTCAAATCATGTGCGAAACAGAAACTCAAGATCCTCAAATGTAAAATTCAGAATTGACTCAGCTGACAAGGAACCTCTCCAGACTTATCGATTAGGGAGTAGGGTGAGCTCCACTTTTACTAAATTCGGATTCTTTCTGCGAAATTTTTTTCCGCTGTATTTCTGCAGAAAAATATTTTTTTCTCATTTCGTACAACCTATATATAAATAAAATTAAGAAGATGAATTTCTCTAGATTTCTTATCCATGATTCACGCATACATATTCATTAGTGGTAGCATTATAGAACAGTTGAGTCATATTATCCGTCTTTCTGATAAAAAGAGATAGATAGCATCAAGAAGATATTCTCTGAAAAATTTCTGCAGAAAATCAACTTCAGGATACTTTTCTTTGGCAGAAAGCTCATATGTACTCTTTTTGCCTCAAATTTTTGATGAATTTCAGTCTACTTCACTGCGCATTGTCGGGTTGTCATTTCATCGATATCGAATATATGGCGTGTACACGTGAATGGAACTTACTTAATTAAAAATAAATTATAGTTCAAGGAGCTCATTCGTCATCAGCACAGTGAACGATAAATATGTTATGCATATAGGATGTCAAAAAAGCGGATTTCAAGTGAAATTTTTTTGTTTCGCCTTTTTTTCTACATTATTTGATAGAACGTGAGTCGCTGATCAAGAAACACTACTTTTTAGCGTCAGTAAATGCTTCTTTTGGATCAAAAAATACGAAGAACACATGTTTTTGAAGACATGCAAAATTTTCTGCTGCATTATTTTTTTTCAAACTCTCGATAATATTTTTTTCAGATTCAACATCAAAATTGAGCACAGATAATTTGTTATATCGACTCTAGCTCCGAAACTCCTTTGATGGTGGCGCTTCAAATTGCACCGAGTGCAATATGTATAGGTCAATTTTGTAAATCAGAGCGCGAAATGAATGAGCAAATCTCTAATCGGTTTGATTCGATTCGATTCGACTCGACGAAACTTATGAACGTATTCGATTCTATTCGACTCTCACTATGAGTTGAAATAGTGCTACTTTGCTCGTACGTCTTATTTGACATACATGTTCTACTCTTTTCCTCGTGAGATATTTGTTCTACTATTTTCCTCAATTTTTATATGCGTCGTATTTCCGTACATATTTTATGGTTATTTAATTCTGTAATACCAGCAGTATGTAAGAAAACAGATTTTACAGAATAGCGTTGTTCGTGAAACTTCTACGCCGATCTTCCCTAGAAATAAGGCTGTACTTTATGCTTGTATAGTCGAAATTTCACAACATGAGTATATGTCGAAAAATTGGACCAGCAAGAACCATTCACTATGAAAATTAACCAGAATACTTTACAATGAAATCGTAGAAGCTGGTTTTTTTCATAATCCTTCATTCAAAAGAAATAACTAAAAACATTTGGCAAAGAATCAACGGGGATGCATAATTAAACAGTATCAATATGAACAGATAGAGACGTCGCTTTACTTATGTGTCTATCGTTAGGAGTCATGAATATATATTTCTATTATGACATTTATCAAGACAAAAGACACTCTGTACAGCTGTCAATAAATATGTATCAAAAAAGTGTTTAACTGATCAAAGAATCATTAGATTATAACGCACATATTCGTTATTTTGTTATACGTTCGTAATTAACAAATGTGTTTACAACAGTTAGAAGAAGTCAATTATACCTTCTAGATTACTGTTGTTTTCTTTTGTATCAGCGGCGGATCTAGGATTTTTTTGATAAGGGGCGATTTGATAGATATGGGGCGATTTTGACCAAAAATCGAGTTTTGAAGTTCATTAGTAGTAGTACGCACTCTATTTTTAAGTCTTTTCTGCTGGGAAAAATCGAAAATTTTTTTTTCGAATGGGGGCGATCGCCCCAAGCGCCCCCCCCCCCCAAATCCGCCCCTGGTTTGTATGTATTCTTAATTTAAGCTGATCATCACTAACATGTAACATTATTACATGATCGAATGACAAAAAAGCCAAATGAAGCATCTCAACCTGATTCGATGCGACATACTTTCTCAAGAAGTTCATTCGAATTCGATTCGTTCAGTGCTCTGTTGTAAACCCATCTAGTTTTTATACGTAAGGGATGAAGTCAAATATTTTATCTCATTTATCCCATCATTCTATAAGCCACCAAAGTACGCATCGTATATTTTGCTTGTGTTTTTCTTTCTTGAGAAGAATTTTTTTTTCTGAATTTTGAACTAAATAGATAGAACTTGGCCTGTATTTCTCCATTTTCTTCACAAAACTAAGTTTTCATGCAATAATCTTATCATATTTGGAATCAGCGCGAAAACCTGAATCGATTGATATATGATTTGACGTTTTTCGTTGACTTCAGTGTTTTTCAGTTTTCAGATGGAGACCTGGCTGAAATCTTCATGAAAAAAATGAACGATAACGAAATTTTTTCGAGTCATACATTAATTGGTTCAGTTTGTTGCGTTGATTCCGAATATGATAAGATTATTGCATGAAAACTTAGTTTTGTGAAGAAAATGGAGAAATACGAGTCAGCTTCTATCTATTTAGTCCAAAATTCAGAAAAACAGATTTTTCTCAAGCAAGAAAAACACACGCAAAAAATGCGATGCGTACTTTGATGGCTAATAGTATGATGAGATAAATGAGATTAAATATTTGACTTCATCCCTTACCTAGAAAAACTAGATGGATTTTCAAAATTAACCTATACGTATTACATTCTGTGCGATTCAAAGCGTCACGATCAAAAGAGTTTCGCAGTTAGAGGCGATATAACAATTTGTCGGTACTCAACTTGTGGTACAAAATCTGAAAAAGAATTTTCAGAGCCGAAAAAAGGACCAAGCAGAAAACTTTGCGTATCTTGAAAAAGATGTTTTTCAAAAAAAAATGACGTCCTTCCAGTTTTTCGTATTTTTCGATTCGAAAAAAAGCATTTGCTAATGCTAAAAACTGGTTTTTCGTGATCAACGAATCACGTTCTATCTAAGGATGTAAAAAATGCGTAAAATAATTACTTGAAGATTGAATTACCCCTATCTAGAATGCCGTTGGAGATGCGATCAAAAACAGGGCTTCATGTGGGATGGGGCAATTTCATCGCATGCAAGCTTTAAAAATCATTTTATTCCATGGGATGCACAAAGATCTCATGGGACAAACATTTTTTAAAAGAAACCTTTTTTTTATGAAAACAATACAATTTTTTCGAAATAGATGTCTTTCTCAGCGAGATGTGAACTTATTTATGATAAAATTATGAAATTCAAAATGAATTGATG